TAAAAAGGCGGATTCGTTGTAAATTCGGTGCCTCTGCAGTCTCTCTCGTTAGAGTGCGTGGTCTGAATGACTTCACTTTGAGCAAAACAGTACTGCTGAGGGAATCCATCTGAAGTGGCCTCCAGCAGTGCCTGTTTTCACTCCGAGGAAGCCGATCTTGACAAAATGGGAGAGAAAAGAAGCAAAGCAGATTGAATCACTGTTCTTAAGGCATGACTTCACTATGGCAAGTGTTGAAGTCACACAGTCCTAGAGCCTCACTTACACATCTGAGTGGTTTTACATAAACCTTTAAAGAGCACTGGAAGAGGCAAAGAGTAAGTAATTAGAATGTGGACCGCATGGCCACAGCGGGAGAGAGAGCTTGTGCCGGGGGCTGCAGTCCCAGAGTCAGCAGGTTTTGAAAGGTGAATCACGGTCTGCAGAAGGCTGAGCATGCGTACTGTCAGTCAGTGATAGCGTGGAGCCAGTCCACACAGACACGGATGTGAAAGACACATATGAAGACTCTCCACAGAAGTCAGGAGATGTGAGATAACAAAAGACATAAAATGATGAAAATGAAATGATACTTAAAATTTGTACGTGAAATAATAGGTTAGGAACCTTAAGTATACATTGTCCTGCCTTGCCCATTGCACATTTGGACTGGCTAAAACCATTAGAAAAATGAAGATGGCTGTGCCCTCAAGGTCACCTTATGCTTGCATACGCAATGTCCGTTCCTGTGATAGGTTGATAATGACCCTGTCACTACACACAGACCCTGAGGAGCAAAGCCCTGCTCCAGTTCTGCTCTGTGCTCCCCCCCCCCCCCCGCCCCCGGCATTTCATAGGATAAGGAACACTGCATGCTTCAGGCGTTTGGGGGCATCAGTTAAAAATAGCATTATTTAAGTAATTGTCTAAATAACCTGAGATGTTATGAAAGCTGTGGCTTATTGGCTTATCCCATTTGTTTTAGTACTAAGTCAAGAAAAGACATATTCTTTAAAATGTAATAAATAAATAATAAATATCAAATATCCACCAACCCTTAAACTGATAACTATTTCCTTTCTTTTTCCTAAACCGATAATTATTCACTTTCTTTTTTCTTTACAAATTCCCTGGTCCACAATTTAGCAATGATTTTTCTGAGGCTATTATTACAGTTTACTCTCTGGGAGACTCCAAGTTCAAAAGGGGCTGCCTCAGCCATCGTTAGACCTCATCTTGAAAAAGATGACAAAACTAATCCTTGCTCAGCCTTCACCCATGACCTCGGTTAATCTTACAGTGATCGGTTTCTCCCTTTAAAAACAGGGGAAGCTAAGGCTTTTGAACCCAGCAACCAGCTTTAGCACGGGTTAGATGCTGAGTAACAACTGCAGTGTGTGTGTGCACACGTCGTGAAGGAGGGTGACTTCTATTTCTCCTTCCCTTCCCGTTTTTTTTTCCTTGCACCCCACAGGAGATGGCTTCTGCTTCAGCTGCTTGCTTAATACCTCCTATTCACCGAATCTTTAAAGGAAACATTTAGCTACGGCTGCACATAAGTTGGTTGTATAATAGGCAAGAAATGAGCCAGGACTGGGCACTTATCTCCACAGAGGATTTTCAGACCAACAAGAGCTGTTTCACAGAGCTGGCCATGACTCGGGACTCTCTCTATCCCCTTTCATCACTATGACAACAGGCAGCTCCTACTTTACATAGCCAGAAAGAGCAGCTGACATCTCAGTGCTGGGAACATGGGGAAGTTTACAAAAAAAAAAAAAAAAAAAAAACCCACAACAACCAGCCCCCCCGCCCCCCAAAAGCCCTTTTGTCTGAATGTCAACAGAGAGAGGAAAAAACACTCCCAGAGCAAGTCAAAACCTCTATTCTTATCTTCAAGAAAGGTCTGAAAGGGGAAGTGTTGGGGCTTTCCCCCCTTGTCCGAGGAGACCCCTCAAACAGAGCTGGCTGCACAGCGGCATGGCTCCACTCTGCCTCCAGAAGGGCTGGCACTGGAAAACACCCCCTCCCAGATGACTCGGGCAGTTTCAGAGCCAAACTCCCAAAGCATGGAGACTCAGTAACAAGCACCTGGGCTGGCGTCCTGAAAATGGTTTCTTTTACATGTCTTTGAATAAAGAAAAGATAACTCAAAGATATTTCCTCATTCATTTCTAATTTTGCTACTAGACACCTCATTCCAACTTCCTAATAGATAGCTTAGGACACGAGATTTCCTATGGTAACTCTACTGGTGAGTCTCATGTTCTAGCTGCTGCCACATGCACTTGTGTTTAAGAAATATCTCGTTTGACCCTTACAATAACCCCACCTCCAGGAATCATTTGCCTAAGAGATGGTTAGCTGGGACCTGGAGGTGCGAAGTGATGGGCCAGGCTCACACAGCTTGTGAGGGGGAGTTGGGGTTGCAGCTCAGGTGCATCAGTCTCTGCAGCCCACGCTTGCCCACCCTTTGGAGACTTTAGCTTGATTCTGAGGAACTGTTAGAGCAGAGAGCATAAGGACAAGGGAAAGCCTAGAGTCCATCGCTTTCCCGAGTTTACACAGTGGAAAAGAGCTAGACCAATACTTTCATGTTTGCTACGATTATTTAATATATACTAGGCGTAGACACTTTTCCACTTAATTCTCACATCACCTATCAGCAGTAGCTATCATTTTTACGATTCTGATGGCCTCACAAAGGGTTCTATGACATAAAAAGGTAAGGTCATTTGTCCAGGGTCCCTGAGCTATTTGGTGTGACCGTATGCATATAAACCACACCTATGTGGTCTTATGTAAGTCAGAGTTATGTGATCAGCATGTATGAACCAGAGCCCGGTGTCTTTCCCATGCTAATTTTATTGTCTTTGAATCAGCCAGTCTCTTCCAGGGTTCTGCAGGTCCTTTGATGTCCACAACAAAGAAACAGGCTGTGGCTAGGTGGTAACACAAATACAAGTGCAGCCATGGCAGAAGGCATCCTGGGAAACCTGGAAGAGGGGCTCCTGAATTTACGGGGGTCCCTTTTCACCCACTGATGACAGTTCCAGGATAATAAGGAAGTCCAACATGCCTCAAGCCTTGTGACAAGTTGCTTCTATCATCTTTGATAGGAAGAAAACATGTTTCTGGACGCCATGCTAAACTTAACAAAGCAGACATGTCCACGCACAGCTTCAAGTCAGCTCAGAAAGAGAAAGAGTCAGGGGGATGGAGACAAACGGCATTGGGAGTCGTCCAGATGCTTCACGGCACACCTCTTTCTGCCGTTGCTGGTTCTCGGTTTCCTGTGGCCATGACAGCCTACAGGAGATGAAGCTGAGGGAAGGGAAGCAGCCCCAACATTCTAACTGCTCAACTGCTGTCCAAAAACTCTTTGAGTAAAGGGGAGGGGGCACGATCTTCCAACAACACACAACATCTTTCCCCAGATGTGGGAAGGAGCATCAGTCGATTGAATGACGATCAGATAAAATAGACTACCCTACCTTGTTAGACTTCACTAGATAATCCAAAATTTAAATATTTTCTTAGAAGGGGGTCTTGAAGAAAAACAAAACCATTCAGAACCATGAAGATTTAGCTGAGCAAGCTATGGACTCAAAAACAAAAGCCTGGTATCCAAGAGAAAGGAGAGAATAACTTTATTTTTTTGACTGTGGGCACATTTCTATTCAGTGTGGTCAGGGCCTGCCCCAGAGGAGTGGCAGATACAATGTCAAGGTGACATAGCTAACCTCTTTGCAGACAAAAGGCAGTGCAAATGAGACTGTAGCAGGACTTCTTGGGGTACCTTTTCAACGGTATAGCTCTGCAGCTGAAAGCAGGGTACAGCTTTCTCCTGCAGGGTGATCTGTGCCTGGAGGAATGAGCAAGCAGGGCTTACAGGAAAATGCTGCATTTGAGAAGAGCCAGACACGAGAACCTTCTGAGAGATAGCACGGTTGCTCTTGGCTTCTAATTCTCTTTCTGCATTTTGTTTTTCTAAAGAAGACATTATCAGGAATTGGACAAATCCCTTGTCCCCTTGTGTCTTAACAAATGTTGACAGGAGGCAAGAAAAACCCACTAAACCGTTAGAGAAAGGAACCAGGGAAGGGCTAAGTTGAAAATAACAGAAGCAGAATATACTATTAGAGAGAGTTCCTAACTCTTAGAAAAACAGAACATTCCAACCCTACGTTGCTGTTAGGTACACGGCGATGATGGATAACTTTAGATAGTTTAAACATGGAAAACATGCAGATTGTTTGATTTTGAAATCTATCCTTCTGGTTTGGTCATTATTAAAACTATGGTTTATTAGTGCTTGATATTTAATTTTGTAGGAGGGAAAGAAATATGACTACAAAAAGTAAAATTCTCTTTCTTCCCCTATAAACTACTCAAAATGGATTTTTAAAATAAATAAATGACTTTGAATTTTTAATCAAAATCATTAACCAGGCCTTTCAGATAATAGAAGTCAGTTTAACACATGCAACTGGCCAATGTAGCGAATTCATTAACATTTACCTGCCGAGAGGTGGCTGGATCCAGGGCCTTGGTAGCTTGCAGCTGATGTTGAATCTCCTCTTTGCACACAACAGGAAGTAAAAGTCTGACAGACGCCCAAGAGGAACTCTTTCAACCCTCTTCCTCCTTAGCTTGGCTTCTTTGCCTAGAAGCACATTCAAGTTTATTGGAGTTGAAATTCTGCTGCCCTGTCAGCCAGGCAGGGTCTGAAGTGACAGATGAGAATTTGGAGGTTGGCACCAGAGGGTCTTTCAGATTGTCATCGTTTCTGTTGCAGATTCCTGGATCTCTTCCCTCGGTGCTGCTGAGCTTTGCAGGCAGCGCAGACCCAGAGGGAGCAAGCTCATTCTGCTGCGCGTATGGAGCGAACAGCCCTCCCCTAAGCTCTTGTTCTCATAGGCCCCTAACTTGGCCAGAATGTAAGCTCTTGGCTCTCCGTGCGTTTTTTTTTTTCTTTCTTTTTTTTCAAACAGTTCTGAGATCTTATGATTGGGATCCCTTGGGGTGGGGGGTGGATGTGATTTTAAGACGCTGAAAAGAGACTCCACACTGCTGTTTATTCCTGAGGCAATTGGAAAGTCGGGGTTAAAGGAGAGGAGGACCCTTGCCGCCCATGCATTTTTATATGCTCGATTGGAAACTGTCCTCATAAATGCAGCCTGAATGTTAATGGCCAACCGTTCCAGCTACTTAACACTCCTCTGCGTAAGCAGCTCTGGAAATTGAGGTTGCTGCTTACAGAGCACAAGTGTGCTGATTTAGGGAGGCTGCAGTTCACAGCCTGCTCTTTCCCAGCCATCCCCTTCTGTAAGCCCAGGACGGTGAAGCTTGGTGTACGAGAAGAGGTCTTCCTGGGAAGTAGACTGTAGCTGTGTTTGTCTCTGACTTTGCATTGTGGCACTTTTTATTGAGACAGGGTCCCACCATGTGGCCCCGGTTAATCTGGAACCCACAGAGATCCATCTGCCTCTGCCTCCTGGGGTTAAAGGAAGACACCAGTATGTCTGGCCCTGCATCCTGGTGCTTTATGCATATGTGTCTAATCATTTCAGCGGTTATGTCTGTATTTATTGCACATTTGTTGTGTGTTAGACCCTGGCTAACAGCTTTCTGTGCGTTGTGTCAGTTGATTCTGACAAGTCTTTGGAGGTTTTACTATGTTCCCATCTGAAAGGTAGTTCAGTGCAATTAATAGTTAAATCTACAGGCTCTCAGACCAGGGAGCTTGGGTTTGCCGCTCGGCTTCCTCACATCGTAACTGTAGACCCAGGAACCGGGTCATGATGTCTCTAAGCTTCGGCTTTCTTATCTATAAGATGGAGGCTACAGATGTGGAAATGATCATAGGATCCATCTCAGGTAATTGTTCCGAGTTTAAATGATTTAATGCAAATAAACTCACTACCATATAGTAGACACTCAAAAAATGTTAACTGTTCTGGTGTCCGTCAGACGACAGCAAAGCTTGGGAAGGCCGGGTGCTTTCTCCAGGGCCTCCAACTGTAACCAGTCAAGTGGGATTCTCCCAGCTTCACACCTGTATTAGTCAACTGGGTAAGCAACTGTGAAGTTCCCTGCAGGTGGGAATGATGCCCCTCTGCTCTCCAGGTGTTCAGCACTGATGCTTTGGATACTATGCCTTCTTCTTCATGAACATTAGACGAGAAGCTGTAATTTAATTTAATTTAGGTTTTCAGAATGTATGACAAAGTCATCAGGAAAGCAGACTTATAAAAACCAAAGCAAAGCAAACAAACAGGGCTCTCAGCTACAACGTAAGAAGGCGCGCCTCAGCCAGTTCCCTCCAAGGACCCCAGAAACATTTGCCTTATTTATTTTCAGAACACCGAAGGAGAAAGGTAACAACACTTATCTCTGTTTTGCAGTGGGAAGTCTGGGAGCAGAGGAAGCCGGGCACTTTGCCCGAGAGCGAGCCCTCACAGCTGGGAAGGGGCACACGTGTCCAGGATCAGGATTATGGCTCCTAATGGAAGGACTGAGGATATGACGTCCTGGGGCCTCAGACAATGGGATGTTTTTCCTCAGCTCAGGCCTGGAGTGTGAGCAGCTCCTCAGAGGAAGGAGAAGGGGCCTCTGGACAAATCGCTCTGGTCTTAGCAGAGTAGAGGACCTTGGCACCATTTCTGCAATAGTGTCCCCTGGGGACCTGGGAGAGGTGAGATCATCCAGGTTGTATAGAAAAGCATTCCTGAGGATTTGACTCTGTTGGTTAGAGAAATTTCTCAAAGACCTCAAATATTAACTTATTTTAATTAGCATTCTCTGTTTGTTTAAGGTGGCTTTATGAGGTTGATTACAGGCAACGAGATTAATCCAATGAGAATAAAGAGAAAATTTCAGCTGGAGAGCATTAAAAAATCTCTTTACCAACTAAAATTTTTTTCTAATACTAAATTTGACATATTTTGGTGAAATGACAAAAAAATGAAGTTCCTTATAGACAGATTGTTTAAGGCAAACTGGAATCATGATTTAACTGTAATTTTATGTACAAAAAGAGCGAATTTAGCTTACAAAGCTTGAGGAATTTGTCTCAGTTTTGTGACTAGAAAGAAATTCAGAACACTGTAACATATGCAAACTCTTACAAATGAGGTAGAAGAAAAAAATGACTAAAAACAAGTAAAAAGGGCTTTGAGTCCATGATGTCTTTAGAGTATGGCTTTATTTTGGGAATGTTCGCTGGCAGATATCCAAGCTCTCATTGTTTATGTCACTGTCATTTCTGAAACAGTTTACAGCTTTCCCAGCTGAGGACAATGAACCTACAACAATACCCCCCTAACAGATGGAGCTGGGAAGTTTGCACGCTCTCTATATGAAGTAGCAGGACCGCGACAAAGGGTAGACTTTATGACTGCTTAGGAGATGCCACCAGGATGTCAACGCTGATCAGGGGATCTGACACACGCCACCATTTAGTGTTCTGTTCAACCATCAGTGTGAAGCTGTCTGTGGTTCACCTCTAACTTCTTGACCCACTCTGGACTTCCAGGAAGGTTAAGAACCCTATTTTAGGGGAAAGATTAGAGAACACTTTTAAGTCAAGGTTTTCATTCCATAACCATGGTTACTGGATCTGTACATTCCACCAACTACAAATAAAAAAAATATTCACAAACTTTGTCATTATTAAACATGCATAGATATTTGTCTCATTGTTTCTTCCCAGTTCAGTATAAGGACATTTACTTGACATTGACATTGAATTGGATATTATAAATAACCTAAAGTTGATTTAAAGTGTGTGAGAAGATGTGCATGGGTTACATACAGACACTCCCCCATTGTATAAAGGACCTGTGCACCCACCACTTGGTATCTGTGGGTGCTGCAAAGGGTGCCTGTGGATGCAGAGGGATGGCTGCAATCACTCTTTAAGCTCACAGTGGGCCTCTTTGTTCTTTAGTTTAAGTATCTGAGTGATCCAAAAGGATATCAAGACCTTGCCTATTAGGAGCCTGTGAGGTAAGGGGCACAGTCATTGTTAGAGTGTGGCACTGTTTCCTTAAAGGAGTAACATGTATTTGTCAGGAAGTGAGTAGGGGTGAAGGAAGGAGGCAGCGAAACAATGCCTACAACAATCTTGACTAGGTCTTGCCCTCTAGGACATTCTTATGTGCTAACACAACATACTACTTTGCTAGGACTTGTGTAATAAAATACCACAACCTGTGTGGTTTAAACTACAAACCTGGAGGCTGGAAGTTGAGATTCAAGGTGTTGTCATTTCTCCTGAGGACTCCTTCCTTGGCTTTCAGGACCATAACTTTATAATCTCATTGCTTATCACCGCTTCAGCTCCTGTCTCTAAACACAGTAACTTTAGAGATTAAAACGTCAACATGGAAACTTGGAGTGAGAAATGATTTTTCCCCCCGTAATTCTGCACTGTGATGTTGACACTTCCCTTGGTATGTATTCTCTGTGGGTCTTCCTTCTGAGACTGCACTTAGGTCTTGATTCCAGCTCGGCTACTGACCTGTGCCGACTTCCTCCACTGTAAGATCCTGCACTGAAGCATTTTGTTTCTCTCTGCTCAATCTTGGTCGTCAGTCTCCTGGGTATTGTGTGATATTTTGATCATGTTCTAATAATAAAGCTTGCTTGGAGTCAGAGGGCTGAGCCAGTCACTAACTGACCAAAATTAACCAAGAGAAGACACTCTTGAATAACCACTCAGAGTCTTAATATTAATTATAAATACTTGGCTCAAGCTTATTACTAACTAGCTCTTAGAACTTAAATTAACCCATTTCTATTAATCTACATTCTGCCGTGTGGCTTTTACCTCTACCCCATTTTGTGTGTCTGACTGTTTCTGCCTCTGGCTGGCGACTCCTGTGACTCTGCCCTTCTTCATCCCAGCGTCCTTAGTTTTGTTGGCCTGCTTGTCAGTTCTTTATTAACCAATGAGAGTAATACATTTTCACACTGTACAGAAGGATTATTCCACAGTGTTGCTGGGTCCTAATGGCTCCCTTGGTGGAGGGTGTGAGAAGGCACAGAGTCAATGATACAGACACCAGGAGTCAGGTGAAAGGCAAACAGCAGATGCATTTATTCAACAATGAGGAAGGCCTCCTCTCGGCTCCCCAGGCGGCGTTTTAATCTGGTGACATTGTATGGCCGTTCCTCATTGGCTGGGCACGATCAGGAACTCTGACAGCACCTGTTGCTAGGCCCTCAGACAGACTCCAGGTTGGCTCATAAGGAAGTACATTATGTGCATTCCATGGCAACTGGTTTGAGCTAATTTCCTTGACGTCTTGGGCCTGTTCTACTACACCACAGCACCTGAGTTAGTCTCTGACTTTGTGCTCTGTGGGAGTTTATTAAGGCCATCCTCTCTTGGCCAGCCTCTTCCATGGGGTCATACTCTCTTTCAGGTCTTATACAAAGCCTTGACACAGAGGAGGCAATTAACAAGTAAAGGAATGGCAGGATTTATGCAGTACTCTGCTGAGTATGATTGGCTCTTGCAATTAACTGCTGTTTTTCTAAAACTCATCTTCAAAAGCAACATATAAATAGTAAGTAAAAATAAAAGAGAAAGGTGGTTAGCACTAGAAACTTTTTAGATATCAGACTGAACAGTATGGTCTTTGTTAATCAGGTCAAGAGAACTCTAGAAGGTTTGGAAGTGAAGGAGGTACTTAGAGTGAGAAACGGCTTTCCAACGTGAGGTACTTACAGTGACGTGGGCTTTTAGTGCTGCTTTGTGTAGCATGAATCTTAACATGTCTTATTAATAAAAGCAAACCTGGAGCCAGGTATTGGGGTGAGCGCTGAAAGATCAGAGAAACAGAACAAGCCACATCCAACCTCACCTCACCAGTTCCTCAGCTGATCTTGTTTCCTCAGACTGAAAGTCTCTGAATCCTAATCCGAATGGATTTCAGCTGAACTGCTGCTAAAAGCTAAAAGCTTAAAAAGGCTCTAGTTCCTGGTCCTCATGCCTTAAATACCTTTCTGCTTTCTGCCATCATTTCCTGGGATTAAAGGCGTGTGTCACCATATGTGGCTGTTTCCAGTGTGGCTTTGAACTCACAGAGATCCCGATGGATCTCTGCCTCCCAAGTGGTAGGATTAAAGGTGTGAGTGCCACCATTTTCTGGCCTCTATATCTGTCTAGTGGCTGTTCTGTTCTCTGACCCCCTGATAAGTTTATTGGGGTGCACAATATATATCAACCACAGTTTTGTTTTATTTATACTTTCTGGAATAGTTTCTCATCCTCACACTGGCATCCAGGCTGGTGGGGTGGGTCCCTTTAGGGAAGAAAACACATGGCAAACTGTATGTTGTTCTTAGAGCATTTGCCTGGGTATGATGCACATCCCTTCCACCTGCAATAAATTGACTGAGTCATAGGATCACAGGCACCTGACTTCAGTGGGATGGTTGTGGGTTATTTCCTTACACTGAAGAGGAACCCTAGGGAAGAAAGCCAGGAAACAGACTGTCACCAGGAGTGAAAGCTCCTTTATCTTAGTCTGAAATGGTTCCCATGGGTCCGGGTTTTGAATACCTGATGCTTGGCTTGTGCAATTTTTGGAGGCCGTGGAAACTTCAGGAGGTAGGATCTGGATGGAAGAAGGAGGTCACGTGGGACAGGCCTTCGGGTGTCATATCCTGCATCCAGCTGCTCTACTTCCTGTCCACTGCTGTGTGAATAGCATCTGCCTCTTGCTTCCACTGCCATAGACATCACGGCCCCACCAAACCTTCCCCACTGTGATTCACTGAATCCATGAGCCAAATCAATCTTTATTCCATTCAGTTGTTTATGCTAGTGATTTAGGTCATATGGAAATGCTTCACACACACGCACACCCTTGAGTTGAGGAGACAGGTTTATCGCACCAGAAGCCCCGATCAAGGTAAGCAACTGAACAAGGAAGCAGGTTGAGCTAGACCTGGCAGGAGGGTTCCCTAGTCTCAGGCTGCCATCACCAGGGAAGAGGAAGCTAGCACCCTCTACACAGTCAGCATCTGCGCACAGCCTGGAGGGAGGCTTTGCCAATTCCGAGAGCCTGGACTGGGGAAGGCATGGCAATCCCACAGGTCTGAGGCATCTGAATATGTAACATGGTTATCCTCATGTCACCAATACACATCTTCCCAGGGCTTCATCTTCTTAACATTCACTCAGGGCTTCCCTTGCTCCCCACATACTAGCTTTCACTTGATATGAGAAAGTATCAAATGAAATCAACTTCAAAGGAGGACGTTTCAGAGGTTTCGATCAATGGTGATCAATGGTGATCAATGGTGTTCAATGGTTCTGTCATTTGGGGCCCATGAGTAGGCAAAGCACAATATAGGAAGTGCATGAAGGAGGGAAGCCATTCACAGCATAGCATCGGGGTGGGGAGGGAGAGAGGGGAAAGGGAGGGAGGGAGGAGGGAAGGAGGGAGGGAGAGAGAGAATCTCTTATTTGCTACAGCATCAACAAGCCTGGAGGGAGTCATGTTCTGTGAACTAAGCTCAGCACAAAAGGACAACGCAGCACAGTCTCACTCATATGTTGAATCCATAGAAAGGTTGACCTCATAGAAGTGGACGAGTAGATATGGGCCAAAGACTCCAGCGGAACAAGAATAAATTTCAGGAGATCTACCATACAGCAAGGTTGTGATGTCTGTCAACAGTGAAACACTGTATTCTTAAAAATAGTAGATATTTTGAGTTCTCATTGCAAAATGATAACAAGGTGAGTTAACACATTTGGTAATTTGCTAGATTTAAGCATGGTACAATATCATGCATCATATGTAATACTTCAGTCGGTGATGGAGCATACCGTGGTGGCCCCATTAAGGCATATTAACTCGTAATGTCATAGTGACCTTAGTTTGCATAAATTCCTTTGTGTTTGCACAGTGATATCACCAACTAATGATGAGTTCCTTAGAATGTGCTCCTATCATTAAGCAACATAGGACTGTACTTTAAAACATCATGTTATATACACTTAAAAAAAGTGATATTATTTGTCAATTAAAAATTTAAAAAATAGGGTCATGGATATGGCTCAGTGGGTAAAGGCACTTGCCACTTGAGCCTGGCAGCATGAGTTTAATGCCAGAACCAACATAAAGGTTCAAGGAGAGAACCAACTCCACCACAGTTTTGATGTCCTCACATGGTCTTGGTTCTGTGTCCGTGTTCTAACCTTCCTCTAAGAACAGCAGCCACATTGGGTCAGGGATTTTATCTTACTTACATTAAGACCCTAACTCCAAATAGAGTTGAATTCTGAGGTGTCAGAACACACAGATTTTGAGAGGGGACAAACTAATCTCAGCAGGAGCTACTCTCCTTTGACAAAAGGAATCTTGGGAACTGCACAGCCCTCCTTTGGTTCTGTGTTTGCCTTTCACTCCAGGCCAGCGTTTCAGCTGATGTCACAGTCTTAAGATCGTGCTGCTTTCTCATGTGATTCATGGGGCCCAAGCCCCTGACAAGCTGTGTCGTTTCTGGTTTCTAGTAGAGAGGTTGCCCAGGTCCCCTGGCCAGTGTCAACACTCAGTCTCCATTGGGACATGCTGTTAAACTGCATCTGTGGTGTTCTCTCAACCTCATCTTTTGCTGAGAATTTCCAAAATCACCAAGTTGCTTAACGGTTTCTTGCTCTGTTTATATCTTTCCTCTCACTTCTCACTATAAACAGCAAATGGAAATCAGGCCACACTTCCCACGCCTTGTTTGGAAATATCTTCAGTTAAATAGTGAAATTCATCACTTACAAGTCCTGCTTTCTACCCAGCAGTTGAACATGATTCGGGTTTCTGATGCCTTCTAGCAAGCCTGGCTTTTCCTCCAGGGTTCAGTAATACTCTGCATTTCTTTCTTAGCCCTCCCCAGAAGCACACTGATATTTCTGTGAACATTTGGGTCATAATAAAATGTAACTGAGATGACCAAGAGGACAGAAGATTTATCTTCAGCTCTAATTTTTTCTGCTTTGGGACTTTGGTAGACTCTCTTTAGTGTCCATTGTTAGGTCTCAAAGGAACTCAGGACAAATGACTGAGGTGCCTACGTAATATATCAAAGCAGATCCTGGCCACTGGGCTCTCAGCATCACGCCCTGTTAAAGTCCTGGCTTCTCTCAGCACTTCTCACCCCACCCCTACCCTAAACCTCTCCCGCCCCCAGGCTTCGCTTCCCCCAGCTTCTCTGCCTGTATAACTTCAACCATTTTGGCTATAGCTCCTTTGGTTCCCTTGATGCTCTTGGCTCCTGGTCCCCTCTCTTGCCCTCTCTCTTTTCCTCTCTCTTTTCCTCTCCCTCTTCTCTACCTTTCTTGTTCTCCCCTCACTTCTCTGCTCTCATGGCCCGGTCTAGTCTGCTGGCTATGTTCAGTCTGGACTCTTGCAGATGCCTCTGGCTGTTCTCCGTGTCTTATCTACAATAAAAGTCTTCTCAATCCTACCTAGGAGGGATCATGTCCTCATCTTCAATTGCCCATATTTCTTTCAATAATCCTTCAAGGTCTTCTAAACTTCCCTTATGTTTC